TATTATTATTCATAGGAGGCACAGTGGATAGTGGCTCGGGGTGAGGAATCGAAGAGCTGAATTCCTATTTGACCATTTGCCATGAAGTGTATTAATTTGTCCTCAACCAAACCCATGAACAACAAATAAAAATTCTGCTTCTGTGCAAAATGATGAGTTGGCACAGTTTCTAGAAAAGGATAAAATCTTCACTTTTGAAAACTGGTATCGGTTTATTGATTAATAGGATTTTGTGTCTTGATATAAATTAAACAATTAGTTCTTCAATCAATCAACTGATTTTTTTTTTACTTTTTCGCTGCAGGTATTCCAATGTTTTTTAATAAAAAATTTTCAAAACTTAGGATTCGAATGTTACCATACGAGAGCATCTCTTTACGACTAATAGCTTCATCCATAGCAAGGAAAGTTGATTCCCTGTGTCGCGCCAAAAGGTTTTTGTCGCCTGATTCCATCCTTCAAATCTACAAATCAACCATTCGCCCTTGCATGGAATACTGCTGTCATATATGATCTGGTGCCCCCCGCTGTTCACCTTAAGATCCTCGACAAGATCCAGAGACGGATAAGCAATGTGATTGGTACTGATCTGGCATCTCGCCTACAGTCACTTTCTCACAGACGTGACGTCGCCTCCCTACAAATACTTTCACGGTAACTGCTCCGGCGAGCTACTTTCGCTAGTTCCCCAGACTGCATGAATTTAAGCATGCTACTAGGCTGGAATCTCGGTCCCGCCCTTTCACCGTAGAAACGGTTAAATGTGGCCGTCTCTTCTACTCCAATAGATTCATGTCTCGCACCTCCCGTCTGTGGAATTCCCTTCCTATTATTTGTTTCCCTGATAGCTATAATCTCCAACAATTCAAATGTAATGTCAATTGACATCTCCAGATGCCCTGAACTATCTTCTGCCCTTCTCTTCATCCTTTCCTCCATCACACCTCTTTACTCCCGCTCCCACTCTGTAAACCCCTGCGTACTAGTGGCATTCCGCCTTGCTTGGGGTGAAATACTCAAAAAAAAAAAGAAAGAAATAAAATAAAATAAATAAATAAAATAAAATACAACAATTTTTTTCTCTTTCGAAATGTCGAATATCAATGTTTCAACACTTGTCACGAACCAATGAAGCAATTTGTTATCTTAGTAAGTTAAAAATTGATAATAAGAAAAAAAATCTTAAAAGAACATATTTATGTTATGTCACTACAATGGATTTGGACGAAACATTATGAATCCGACATTTTTACCAGGGCATTTGAATATCTTTCTACTTTTCGGTCATTATATAACAGACTTCAGGATGATTTTAATTTACCCAGTTTACGAATATTAACAGATTACTTCTTAAATTAACAGACTTCAGGATGATTTTAATTTACCCAGTTTACGAATATTAACAGATTACTTCTTAAATTAACAGACTTCAGGATGATTTTAGTTTACTCAGTTTAAGAACATTATCAGATTTAGCATCAAAAATCTCAAAATTAGATGGCTTTAAGTTTTTTGGTGATATTTTTAGTAAAACTTCTAGAAATCAGAAAAAGTGAATTCTTTTTTGTTGATGAAGAGTATGTCAAAGTTGCTCTACAATATCATGGATGAAATTTATTTGGTTTGGCTGAAATTTCTGAGGGATTAGCAAAAAATGCTCAGTACCGAATTCTGAATTATTGTTTTATTCTGAAGGTAAAAAGATGAAAGCAAAATGGGAAATTGTAAAAGGTCTTTTTGAGTACGAAAAACTCAATTTGTTAAGCTGTCGAAACTAATTAATGTAGCAGTTTACCCAAAACCTTTTGATCCGCAAAATGTTTCCCATTGTTAAAAAGATTTTCTGTGATCAAACTGTAGCTGCCATTAAAACACGCCTATTATTAACTTGGGAGGATACTTTAGAAACAGTTAATTTTATTGAATGATTCTTAAAATGTTTGAAAATTGTCTCTGTCAAAGAAATATATGCTGACACTAAGAAAAATGATCGACTAAAAAAGTGATATCAGATTTAGATGATGAACATATGTTATTTCGTTTTATTCTGAGAAAATGTTTAAAAAAATGGAAAAAAGAATGAAATCGTTAACAAGAGAAACTAGTTTAGCCATTTAACATAAATGAAATGGCTTAATTGATATTTGCAGATACTTGTTAAAAAATGGGTTAAATTTTGTTATGCTTCGTGAATTTACCACAGACTATTTAGAAAATCAATTTGGAAAATTAAGACAAGGCTCTTGAGGTGCATATTTTATAACAGTTCAAAATGTTATTGCAAAAAATTAGATATTAAGAAAAATAAAACTAAAGTTTGTAAAGATTAGACAAATTATTGTTTCTCTGAAATTCACATTTTTCTGTAAAATATTTTCAGACTTTGTTGATACACGATTTTGTAAAATGCTGAAATTGCTTTCTGACTGTATTATAAAATTTTATATTTTCCGTAATCAGTTAGCATAAACAAATTAACTCATTATTTTTGCAATATTATCTAAAAATAAATAATTTACGGTGATTTTTGTGCAATTAATTATTTTATGGCATTTTTGTTCTTTCTTTGTACATTTGCATTTATGGAAATAAGTCAATAATTATAAGCTGCTTCCTAATATTATATATAGTTGTTAATTAACTAATTACTGGACATTACTAACAAGTTCTTTGCTAAAAATGTTCTCAGTAATTGTTATTAATAGTAATTTAGGCCTCCACGTGTCCGCCCACAGTCGTAGACCCCAGTCGCATAGTTGCCAGGCCTGTTATAAGGTTCGCCTTGGTAGCAGTACATAATCTATTCGTTGGGCACTTCCATGTCGTTTAATGTTTAACAAGCTTATCTCACTAGATCAATTGCGACAGAGTAGTGAGTTCGATCCCATTACGTGTCCCTTATTTTGGGCATTGTACCACATTTAAGCAGCCTTAGTAAAAGGATATTTCAACATGGTATAATGGCTAGCAAATAGATCACTGAATAGTGAGTTTGATCCTCACTAGGTGCTCCATGCTTTCGGCCTTTTCCCACATATAAGCTATGTCTAGCAAATCAACTAATCACTTCGATGTGTTGTAATGGTTAACAAGCTTGTCTCGGAAGATCAATTCCAACATCGTTCCTCACTGAGTGCCACATAATTTCTGCCTGCTACGCTTAGAAAATCGCCTTCATTTTATTTCGGAAAGCCATGGTTAGAAAGACGTTATTGCAAACTAGATAGATAGGATAATAAATTTGACCCATAGGGGTGTCTCATAGCTGTGACCTTATGCTAGATTGAGATAAGCTCGAGAAATCAAGTACGCTTTTTTTTTTTCGATCCTAAAATCTTGATAAGTTTCTGAAAAAATACTGCTGTCAAATCCATAGCTTGTGAATTTGGAAGCCTTGTCAGTGCAGGTTTCGTTGGCTTTGCTCTCTGGGTCCTGTTTCTTATTTCGACAGAATTTTTATGGCATTTTTAGAATGTTTTCCTCGAGAGCCTCAATTCTTTTCTGAAGATGGAAATACGAGTTTCATCCCAGTACACGTGAGAGACGAGAATAACAGATTCATTCTCGTTCTCTGAATGAAGCACAAAAAAAAAAAAAGAAAAAAAGAAAGAAAAATTGAAACAATAAAGAAAAATAAACATTTGACTTTTTAAAAGAAATACATTTACATTCTTTTAGGACTAGTTTTATTATTCTATCTGGTATAAATGTGTTTTATAAAAATGAATCAACCCTCGTAATTGTCTCAAAATTGTTTCATAGGATTAGAAACTCTCTTTTTTTATTTATTTTTTTTTTGTTATGAACGATTTATCAATCCTTTGTAGGTTATTTAAAGCCAGAAGATATTTTTAGATTGTAAGATTTTTTTTATATAATATTGATTTAGTTATACACGTCTTACTAATTAACCCATAGCTAGAGGAATAAGAGGTGGATTCATACTTTTTCTAAGGGTATTTGCTCGTAAGTGAATATAACGAACCCAAAGGAAATTGGGAGTTGGTGAAAAGGTCTGAGTCATTATCCATATCCAAGCTTACAGCACTTCGTATTTCCAATCGGTCACGCATTTAAGTACTAACCATTTGGAATTTGGAATTCACATATAGCACATAAGTGGTGAAGGTTTCGTGCAGGACCATCCAGCCGATTACAGAGACAAGGTCCCCAAACGACCCTCCGCAGGTTTTGAATTCAGAGTTTTTCCTTCTCCTAGACCAGTTGCCATCCAAATCTGTCCTGCTATTTACCCATAGCTGGAGGGAGAAGAAGAGGATTCACACCTTTCCCAAGGGTATTAGCACGTAAGTGAATGTAATGGTTTCGAATGGAATTCGAACTCGGCTCTCCGATTCCTCAATCCAAGCCGCTATCCATTACGCCACCGTGCCTCCTTATTCAATTTGATCAATTTGTACCCACGGCAGTTGCGTTTATTCTAGACTTTCAACTGTCTTTATTTTTTTTCCCCGATTTTTGAGTTTAATCTGTTGATTTGATTTTTTTTAAAACTGACGTAATTACGTAGTTGACAGTGAACTTACAGATAGACAAGAATTGAATTCCTTGTTTGTTTTTAAATGCCATCAATGTACAAGTTTATGTGCAAGGTAAAAAAAAAGAGAATAGTCTGTAAATATCATCGTAAACAAGTCGACATCGTCGTAAACGACCATCATTTGAACTGGCTGACTTCAGACTGACGTGACACCATTTGCCGGATGTATTTGTGATCTGAGGCGTTCTTTGCTAATGTTTAACTTTTCAGTGTTAAAAAAAAATGTTTTTGATCAAGTTAAGTAAAACTAAATTTTCAGCGCTTATCACTCGCGGTAATATAGTGTTACTTCTCATGACCAAAAGTAGTAACCGTTTCTTCTGAGTAAAAATAGATAAGGCGTTTCGATCCTAGGTTCCTGAAATATGGGAGGAAGTACAAATACCATCCAGAAGCGTTTCTAATAAAAAGATAGAGAAAGGTTTGATTTTTGTATCTAATGTCTATAAATATATCTATATATACTGAAATATCTATCTATCTATCTATCTATCTATCTATCTATCTCATTTTGTTTACTATCTATCTATCTATCTATCTATCTCATTTTGTTTACTATCTATCTATCTTATTTTGTTTACTATCTATCTCATTTTGTTTATTATCTATCTATCTATCTATCTCAATTTGTTTACTATCTATCTTATTTTGTTTACTATCTCATTTTGTTTACTATCTATCTATCTATCTATCTAATTTTGTTTGCTATCTATCTATCTATCTATATCATTTTGTTTACTATCTATCTATCAATCTCATTTTGTTTACTATCTCATTTTGTTTACTATCTATCTATCTTATTTTGTTTACTATCTATCTATTTATCTGTCTGTCTGTCTATCTATCTATCTATCTATCTATCTATCTCATTTCTTTTTCATTTCTATCTATCTATCTATCTATCTATCTATCTATCTATCTATCTATCTATCTATAATACGAAACTTCTGTGATTGCGTGTGTGTTTGTGCGGTGCATGCGTCCCGCGTAGAATGATTTTTAAGTTAATCTGATTTTTTTAAAAATACATTTTAAGTGACTAAGATTTAAAAATGCGACTGATTTATACAGTAAGTATTTTCATTTTAATTTTCTGCAAGCTGATAGTTTTTTTTTTAAATTAAAATATTTTTGAAGTTAAAGACAGACACAAAGAGATCCCGCTTTGCTGTTTCGTCCAGTTTTTTGTGGAGTAGTTATTTATATTTCAGATTTCTTTAAACAGACTATATTTTAAATATTAAAAAATATTTTCAAGTGAGTTAGGACAACTTAACACACACATACACACAAACACACACACACAAAAACTAGCCAGATATATGTGTGTGTGTGCGCGTGTGTGTGTTTGCGTGTAGCCTGCAACAGAAATACATCTCAGAAATACCTCCCACATGGTAAGGCATTAGCCAGATAAAGACACCACTGCTCTTAATGTCTTACCATTATGTGGGAGGTATTTCTGTGATGTACATGTAGAACGTGTTTCTGTCGCACTCTCCCTCTGTCTCCACCACACACACACACACACACACACACACATATATATATATATATATATATATATATATATATATATATATATATATATGTATGTATGTATAGCTGGTCACTCGTGTTCGAGGATGCCCGTCTACTAGGGTGGTTAGTCAATCCTTATTGCAGACGCTTGCTCAGACGCATTTGTGTTTGTTCAACATCTACAGAGCCCACCTGTGGTTTATACTGCAACTATGCTGAGCAGACCTTAGTTACAGTTTCTAGGAAAGAGCGTGTTATCTAGCGTGGTCAACAATTTGAACAAGGCTAGAACGTTGAAGATCTCGGCCACGATGACTTGTGACTTTGTGCTAGCACAGCTATTGACGCCCTTCAAGGGTTCCGTCTACCCAATTTCACTCACAAGGCTTGGGACAACCCGTCGTAGGGTTTCCAGACACTTTTCAAAGGTGCGGCACGCTGTGACTGACCACCTCCTGTTCAATAACATCTAGAAGTTTCCTTCCTGACAAATCGCCTGTGGTGAGATTCGAACCCTGGTCTCATTGTCAGAATGAGAACGTTCTAACCACTCGCTAATACAGAATCCTTAAAAATCCATTCAGGTGATAGTTTATTGTGGATTTTTACCATTCCATTTTCAAGGATCTCTTTACCCTGGTTTGGAATTTATCAAAGGTTATTGTAACATATCAAGTGAAGAAATAAATATATTAGGTTGGTGCAAAAATAATGACGTAATAATGTCGTTTTTTTACTTTAAAAAATACGTCAAAAACGACATTATTACGTCATTAATTTTGCACCAACCTAATAATAATGATCTGTAGAAGACCATTTCTTATCCATAATAATGAAGAGTGCCTTAAGAACTCTGATGAATATTTTGATATTTCCATAGGATCATTAGATTCTGGAGAGTCTTCTGACCTGGTGGGTTTATTCATTCTATATAACCTTAGCACCTATGAGGATGCCAGTATTGATAATATAGGCTTATATAGAGATGACGGTATTATAATAGTAAAAAAAAAACATCCGCTAAAATTGAGGTTTATAAATTAAGAAAAATGATTCATGGAGAATTAAAAAGCTTAAATCTTAAGGCTAAGATATCTACTGATGTTAAACGAGTAGATTTTCTTAATGTTACGTTAGATCTTGTTAATGATGTATTTCAACCTTATATGAAACATCATGCTAACTCAATATATATTAACCCCAATTCTAACCACCCTTCATCTGTAATCAAACATATACCTTCATCTATAGAATGTACGTTTAGCAACCACTTATCTGACAAAGATATATTTGATAAATATAGTGGAGTTTATAATACTGTTTTAAAAATAGTAGCTACAATTACGCTGAAATCAAGTATATAAAATATAATACTGATCTCAGGAAAAGAAATAGGAATAGGAAAATAATTTAGTATCCAACCCCATTTAACCAATTGGTTAGCTCTAAGTTAGGCCAGAAGTTCTTCCATTTAATTGATAAATGTTACCCTAAAAGTAACCCTCTTAGTTTTAATGTGTTTGTTAAATATTTTACTATGTTATAGCTGCACTGATAATCTTGAGATCATAAAGAAACACAATAATAATATAAAAAATATAATGATTTTCTGATCTGGGTATATTTATTCTGTATAACCTTAGCGCTTATGATGATGTTATAGGATTATATAGAGATGATGGTCTGATGGTAGTAAAAAATTCCATTAAAATTAAGTTTGATAAATTAAGGAAAATTATTCATAGAGAATTAAAAGGTTTAAATCTTAAGGTTAGGATAACTACTAATGTTAAACAAGTAGATTTTCTTGGTTTTACATTAGATCTTGTAAATAATGTATTCCAAACTTATATAAAAAATAATGCCAACTCAATTTACATTCACCCTAATTCTAACCACTCTCCATCTATCCAACATATACCTTTGTCAATTGAACGTACGATTAACTAGCACTCAACTGCCAAAGATGTGTTTGTTAAATATAAGAGTGTTTATAATACTGTTTTAAAAGGTAGTAACTGTTACGTGTCATCCGTCCTTTACGGCAGCGAATGTTGGACGACTTGCCTAAATATGAAGAAGAGACTCGAGGCGACAGAGATGTGATTCAACAGAAGGATGCTAAGGATATCATGGACCGAGCGTGTGAGCAAAGATGAGATCTTAGAGAGGTTGCAAACACGGAGGGGGCTTATACTTCATATCAGGAAGAGGCAGCTGAAGTTTCTGGAACATATAATGAGGAAGGAGGGCCTGGAGAATCTGATACTCACGGGTCGAATAAAGGGCAAGATAGACAAGGGAAAACAACGCGTGACATACCTGGCGGACTTAAGTGGATGACAGAACGTGGTCTGGGGGAGGAAGCAGAAGAAAGGAACTTGCTGAGAGCTGCAAGGGTTAGAGGAAGATGGTGAGACATGATCGCCTACGTCCTGAAAGGACATGGCACATAAAAAGAAAGAAAGGTTACAAGTATAGAAAATATGATCATAGTGGTCTAAAAAAAGAAACAGAAATAGAAATACCATTTGTTACCCCCGCCCCACATTTAACCAATTGGTCAGAACTAATTTAGGCCAGAAGTTTCTCCATTTAATTGATAAATATTTCCCTAAAAGTAACCCTCTTAGTAAAATATTTAACAGAAACAAATTAAATCTAAGTGATAGCTGCACCGATAATATTGAGAAGATTATAAAGCTACACAATAATAAAATTTTTAAACTAATAATCTGGATCATAATCCACGCTTCAAGATAAATATTATTAATGATACTAGCCAATGTAATTGCAGGAATCCTAACCAATGCCCATTGCCAAACAAACGTTTAACTAAATCTCTTCTTTATCGACGTACTTTCTCGACAATAGAAAATCCGACGGTTGAAAAATTCTATATTGGTAGTAATAAGAATTCTTTTAAGACGGGTTGTCCAATCAGCATATCTTGTCCTTCACCAATAGTATTCACAGAAATAATATATAACTTTCTAGATATTTTTGGAGTTTAAAAGATGATAATAAAAATCCTAAGGTGAAATGGAAAATTTTTAAAATAGCAAAAACATGTAGTTCTTTAAATGGATCATGTTTTTGTGTTTACATGAAAACTGGAAATTATCAGATTTTTTAATAAAAAAAGGAGCGAGTTAACGGTAAATCGTAGACATAATCTCTCTTTTCCTTATGATTTAGTAAAACTTTGTAATTTGATAATGGTTTTTCTTATAATTTAGTTGAACTGCGTTGCACCATATATGGCTTATTTTTCTATTTGTATGATTAATTTGGATTTAATATAGTTCTGCATTAATCTCCTGTTAATATTATTAACATCTTATATAATGTATTGGTAGTTAATATTTTTGACATCTTACATTGATTGGTTGCTATTATTAACATCTTATTTGGATGATATTTAAAGATCGCATACTAATTTACCAAATAATTCTATACGTTTGAATTATTTTCTAGTTTCTTAAAGAGGCCTCTTATATATCAACTACAAAAAATTATGTAGGAAATACACAAAGCATATAAAAAATTAGTTTAAGTTGCATTAGTTTAAATTAGCTCTCCACCCATCCGCTTTTATTTTATGGGAAAAATGACCGTCTGACACTTTATGTAACTATCTGTATTAGTTTTTAAATTCATGTCTGGCTGCTGTTGGCAGATAACTTGAGAAACTTTTAATTTTTTCTTTTTCGCTTTGAATCGAACGTATGTCATATTTGATTGGTTGATCAGAGTAAAGCCCTCAAACCTTAAAACCTTTTTTTTTCGGAAAAGGATGCTGTATTTTGCTTCTGAAACCAAATTATTCGTTCACTCGCCAGTAATTTACAATCGTCTGGGGAGACGCATTGGTATGCGTCGAAACACGACTGCAATTGTGTAGCGATTCTTACATGTTGTTTCACTATCCTAAAATAAATAATATTGTTCTACTCTGCATTGAGACTTATTTTAAATTAAATGTATAAACGTTGGGATTGTACTCTATTCGTTCTCATATTAACTGGATTATATATATATATATATATATATATATATCTAGCCACACTGATGAGCTGTGAAACAGCGAAACAGTCTGTCTGTGGATGACGTTATATTGGCTCCTGAAATATCAATTTCAGTTGAGCTCTCTGGGGACGAGGTGTGGGTTGGTAAACAGTGACTATTATAGTTATATAGCGAGACTTTTCGCAGATGCGAATTGAGTTACTGTCGGTCACTGGGCGTGTTTGTAAAAATAAATACGCTAAAAAATTCACTTTCATCCGTGCGCCGACGGCTTAATGGCTAGAATCTCCAATTCAGTTGAGTTTCGATCCTGGCTAGAGGCAACCGGATGTCTAGCCACACTGATGAGCTGTGAAACAGCGAAACAGCCTGTCTGTGGATGACGTT